AAGGCATACCCCTAGACTATGACCGAAATCTCAGTGACACACTTAAACTTAACTAGGGTCCTATTACCTCCCCTAAATTAATTTAAAATGGAATAAACACACCACAAACGCTGACATGGCATAGAGAGTATGCACACTCTCTTGAAGGCAAGTGATTAGTGCACAAATTGGACACATGTCATTTTTTTATTGGTAACTTTATAATTAGTTAGTACACATATTTATTGATAATAAAACTTATATATATTTAATTATTTTTATTTCTTTCTTTGTAAAATATGTATTTAATTTCATTTCACTTTAAACATTTTTTATTTAATTTATTATATTTTCAATTTTAATTATTTTTAAAAAAATAATTTAAAAGTGTCCTTTAATTTTAACGTTTTAATTTTTTTATGTTTTATTTGATTTTCTTCACTTATTTTGATATCCGTTCAAAATTAACTTATTTTAAATACAAAACATTTGAAATCAAATCAAAATGAAAGACAAAGAAAATAAAATCAATAGAAAAATAAAAGAGAAAAACAAAGAATATAGGTAAAAAAAATTTGATACAACGTAAAAAAATGTGTATTAACTTAATTTTAAAAATAAGGATATTTAAAAAAAAAATTGAAAAAATAATATTTACACACGTGGCGGGAGAGTGTGCAAACACAACCAACTTGGGTGGTTGAAGGTGCCACATCAGCACAAAAGGTGCACAAAAATACGAAAAAAATGTGTGAGGGGGGTAATAGGATCTTAGTTAAGTTTAGGTGTGTCTCTGGATTTCGGTCATAGTCTAGAGGGTACTTATGACTTATCCCTATTCAATACTTTCAAAATCATTCTAAATTCAAAAATATACAAATTTACACATTTATATACTATAGTTCATAAATTAATTACTTTATCAAATAAAAAGATGAGTACACGAAAATGACGAAGTTGCTTTGACTACAGAACCATGCATGTCTGTTGGAGCGAATTGGATGCATATACAATTCATATATACATATGCAACATATACAATGGATAATAAATCAATTGACAGCCGTAGTAATATACAAATGGTGTCAAGTAAATTTTTGAACTAGCACACACCTTTAACTTATACATATACAATTCATATATACATATTGAAACATATACAATCGATAATAAATTCATTGACAACCGAAGTAATATACAAACGGTGTCATGTAAATTTTCGAACTAATGATTCAAATAGAATTCTTATTATACAAATCTAAATACGAAACAACTTGGACATGCAAAGGCATACCTCTCGTAATCCTCTTGGATGAAGTTCCATCATCCTTTTTTTTTTTGAAAAGCTTGAAATCTGAAGATCAAAGTGAGATTTTGAGAAAAAATCACCCCAAAAAATAAGCATAAGCTGGTCATATAAAAATGAAAACACGATTAGAAGGAGAGAGTGAAACTGAAAATTCAAATTGAATATGTGTGAGTGAATTAAGGAAAAAATTAGAGAATGAAGAGAGGAGAGATAAAATTGAGTTTGTATAAAATTTTATACTAAGGCCAACAATTGTGATTTTGATTTGGTATACAAATAATGGATGGGTCCCATATTTAATGGCAAAAATTATCAAACTGTAATCACATAGAGTAATTAAAAGAAACTATACCCCATTAAATAGGCGAAATGGTCTGGTGGACCTTTATACTTGTATCAGTTTGTATTCTGAACCTTTTTACTTAGCCATTTGTCATCTGGACCCTTAAACTCAATAAAACACAATTTAACAAATCCCTCTGACCATTGACCAAGCTTATGTGTCTTTAAGATGGCTGAGTTGGCGAAAGTGTGTGACTTCACGCACCTTAAGGCGAGTGAATAACTTTTTTAGGTTAAAAAAATATTAAAACTATAAAAGAGATATTTAAAAAAAAAACAATTAATTAAAAAGTCATTTCTTCTTCCCCACTAACCCCTCCTTTTTGGCCATTTTCACGCCTAACCAAACTTTTTTTTTCTTCTCCACAATTGACTAATACCTATTTAGCATATCTTGGCGACTGATTCACCGCGGAGGGAGAAAGCAGACCAGCGCTCACCGGAGACCACTGAATCGCAGTGGCGTGAGAGAGAAGCAGCGATGGTGGTGCACGCCACCACTATTTCGCAGTAGAGTGTGAGAGGGACGCGACACTGGCTAGTGGAGAAGAGAACGAGGTGGGTGAGGGTGCGGTCATGGCGGTGAAGAGGTTTTTCAGCCAGTTTTGGTGGCTTAGGTTGTTGTTTTTGTGGAGGTTGGAGGAGGAAAGAAAAATAGTGATGGTGTGCAGCGGAGAAGAAGATGGATGAGGGAGAAAGTATATGTGATTTCGCCTGCAAAAATGGCGACAACGCGGCGATGGCTTTCTCCGATCGATGGTCGTGAAACAGTGAAAATAGGGAGAATTGGATGTATGGAATTTCACTTTAAAATATGCCAAACATATCACAGAAATACGAGCACAAGTCATCAAGCACAAGAATAACAAAAGACATAAGGCAGACCCAGAACAATCAAAGAAATCCCCAACTGTTCATACAAGATGAATAATGATTTATCAACAATTTGGGGGTTTATCAACGGAATTCGTGGGATTCGTAAAGATCTAACCTACCCCATACAGAAATAAGGAAAATTGAAGATTGCAACTTTACTTGGATGGAAAAGCTAACTCGTCTGAGATCTTCTCCATGGTTATGGATACACGGCATCGGTGAGAGCTTTGTGATGCGAAGAAGTGATTCCATAACAGAGAACTTAGCTAAGAAATCCTTTGAAGATAGACATCTCCGGCGTTGTTTTGAGATGAAGATTGTAGTCAAGAACTTTCCTAATTGTAATTTTTTTATTTATTTTTTTGGTTTTGGTTTCTTTATTTTTTGTATGTTGAACCTTTTATTTTAATAAAATATATCCACTTAGATCTACTTAGTGGTATTAAAAAAAATAAAAAATGAAATAATTATGATATGGCATTAATATATCTGGATATGACATGTCAATTATACAAGGGAGAGTGAGCTATACACATGGTTGGAGGGGCTTAAAAGTTTCATTTTAATTGAGTTTAAAGGTTCAAATGACAAAGGGGTAAGTAAAAGGTTTCAGAATACAAATTGATACAAGTACAAGGGTTCACCAGACCATTTCGTCCATTAAATAATAACATAGTAATGTTTGCCAACTCGCGTAATTTTCCCTAAATGTTATACTTACATAAATAAGTAGGATTTTTAATTAATGTTACTGTTTTTTTTATAGTTATTAGATTTTAATTTAGTGTAGGGACAAAATGAAAATGTTTATTCCATATTACTAAATATAAAATTTATTTTTGTTAATGATAAATTTTAAATGATTCACATATATTCACATATTTTCACATTCATATAAATTTTAAATGATTCAGAAAAACAAATCGTGACAATTCTCTAACTCTTGAGAAGTTGAATAATTTTGGAAAAAGATATTCAGAAGCATATATCTACATCACACGAGAAATTATTAACAATAACAAATGAATGTAGACTACAATAAAAATTAAAGTAATACAAACTTCAACGGGCGTTATTACAAGTCATAAACTTTTCTTCGTCGAAATACTTAAATATTAAGAAATAGTAAATCAATAAAACAAAAGGGCAATGTTTATATTAACAAAAAGACAATGTTTATATAGTAATAACTATTTTGAATCAAACTTCCTGACAATCTAAATCACCTAAGTAACATTGATAAATAAAGTCATTCTTTTGTCTTGAGCATCAAAAAACAAATCATGACAATTCTCTAACTCTTGAAAAGTTTAATAATTTTTTAAAAAGATATTCAGAAGCATATATCTACATCACAAGAGAAATTGTTAATAAAAACAAATGAGTTTAGACTACATCATGTTAACTTCATACATTGGATCTTATCAACGTCCATGAATGATAAATCATAGATCGAACCGCCGAATCGGAAAAATTGGAACATTTCATACTATCTAAGCAAAAAAATAATTATTATATCATCAGAATTATTTTCCTCAAGTATTCGAGGTTAAGGAATATACCCTCTTATGATAGAACAATTTACTTTATCAAAATAGTGGTACATCATATTCCGCTAAACTTTGAACTCACTCAACGACAATAAATCACACAAAAAAATTTAAAATGCAAGAAGAAGAATAGTAGAAGATTCAAAAAAATTGTGGTTGAAAAATGAGAAGAAACCCCTCTATTTATAGTCAACAAATGATAGTATGAACAAGTGTTTTTTGTGTCTTATCTGAAAAGTCATGACCTTTCCAAGAAGCCACAACCCTTTGGAAAAGTCACAACTATTTGGAAAAGTCACAACTCTTTGGGAAAGTCACAACTCATCGAAAAATCACAACCCTATGAAAAAAGTCACAACTCATCGAAAAAGTCACAACCTATGTTAGGGATATTATAGTAATTTAATATTCAAGTTAGGAGTTCATGTTTTTAAGGTAACATAGATATATATATATATACTAATTTAATATCAGTTAAGTGAAATTATTAGTCTGATATCAATACATCATATGATATTGATTTATCAGTTAAACGAAAATTATCAACCTTAATGAATGAAGGGTATGGGCTGTAAATTTTTTTTTAGAGAATGAATATTTCTTGAATTACTTTGGATGGGAGGTATGAACATGTAATTATTTTGAGTTTTATGGCCCGTTTATGTAGTTTTTCCTAACTTATTGCTTGTCTTTGTTTCTATTGCATTCTATCTCATCGTATCACATCTAAGTTTGAAACAATCCTTTGTTTACATAGCCCAAGACTATGTACAACTAGCCAATTAAGAAGTCTCGGAAAATCAAGATAGGTCAAGAAAAGTGGCCCAATTGGTTTAAGCCCAACTTATCATATCCAAGCCCTTTTCAAACCGGAGTATTGCCCCGATATAGACACACACACACAAACACAATCCCGCGTATATTTCTTTAGTCTTCTATATACAATTCATCCCAGTTTTGTTCGAAAATCTTCAATGGATTCCCAATCACACCCAGTTCAAGAACCATCACAAAACGTAAATTCATACGAGCAGTACCAAAATTCTTCAGATTCGTACTATGAAAACCCTTCACAAACCCTAGGTCAAGATCCCGCACCAGGTGTTTGTGAAAATGCCGAGCTGAACGGCTCAAATTCCAACTTTCGTGAAAACTCAGCTAAGCCAGGCGACAATAATTCAGCTCAAAACAAACTATCAGATTTGAATTCAAATCTTATGTTACAGAAGCCATTGTTGTCGGGTAATGGGTTGACTAACACTCATAGTGGTGGTGCCGAGAGGGACCAATCAGGTGGTGAAGAAGAAACTTCCAGTAGAAGAAGGAGGAGAAGCCGATGGGACCCACCCCCGACTGATTCGAGCAATGATGGCACTGGAGGAAATGATGGAAGCGGGGCTGGACGAAAGAGGAAATCGAGGTGGGCGGATGATGAGCCGAAGCCGGTGATTCAGTTGCCTGATTTCATGAAGGATTTCGCTGGAGGTATTGAATTTGACCCTGAAGTACAAGCTCTTAACAGTAGATTACTTGAAATTAGTAGGAAACTGCAATCTGGTATGCCTTTAGATGATAGACCCGAAGGAGCTCGATCCCCTTCGCCTGAACCTATATATGATAATATGGGTGTACGTATAAATACGAGGGAGTATCGTGCTCGAGAAAAACTAAATAGGGAAAGACAAGAGATTATATCACAGATAATAAAGAAAAATCCAGCTTTTAAGCCACCAGCAGATTATAGGCCTCCTAAACTTCATAAAAAGCTTTACATTCCAATGAAGGAGTACCCGGGTTATAATTTTATCGGCCTTATAATTGGGCCGAGAGGGAATACTCAGAAGAGAATGGAAAAGGAGACTGGAGCAAAGATTGTAATTCGAGGTAAAGGGTCGATTAAAGAAGGGAGGTTCCAACAGAAAGGGAATTTGAAACATGATCCGGCAGAGAATGAGGATTTACATGTGCTAGTGGAAGCTGATACTCAGGAGTCACTTGAGGCTGCTGCAGCTATGTTGGAGAAGCTTTTGCAGCCCGTCGATGAAGTACTTAATGAGCATAAGAGGCAGCAGCTCAGGGAACTTGCAGCGTTGAATGGAACGATTAGAGATGAAGAGTTTTGTAGGCTTTGTGGTGAACCAGGTCATAGGCAATATGCTTGTCCTTCTCGCACCACCACATTTAAAAGTGATGTGCTTTGCAAAATATGTGGTGATGGAGGACATCCCACTATAGATTGTCCAGTGAAAAATACTACTGGAAAGAAAATGGATGATGAGTATCAGAACTTCTTGGCAGAATTGGGAGGGACAGTTCCTGAATCATCACTTAAGCAGAATGCAGCAACTCTTGCTCTTGGTCCTGGAAGCACAGGCAGTAATCCTCCTTGGGCCAGCAGTAATAATACAAGTGGTGGTGGTACCAATTCACACCCTGGATTAGGGTCAAATATAATGAAGCCAAAAGAATTTGATGATACAAACTTGTATATTGGTTACCTTCCTCCTACTCTGGATGATGATGGTTTGATCAATTTATTCTCTCCCTTTGGTACCATCGTAATGGCTAAAGTTATAAAGGATCGTCTCAGTGGTCTGAGTAAAGGTTATGGTTTTGTTAAGTATTCAGATGTTCAACAAGCTAATAGTGCCATTGCTGGCATGAATGGTCATTGTCTTGATGGGAGAACTATTGCTGTGAGAGTAGCCGGCAAACCCCCTCAGCCTGCTGTGCCTCCAAGCCCTCCTGCTCCAGCAATGCCCCCATATCCTGCTCCTAATCAGGCATCTGGAGTCTATCCGTCTCTGCAGTATGCAACGGGTGGTCCCATTGGTCCCCCTGGTGGCTATGCTGGGACTCCAGTTCCTTGGGGACCACCTGTGCCTCCACCATATGCCTCTTACCCACCTCCTGGATCAATCATGTATCCTCCTCCTCCAGGTCAATTTGTACCTCCGTATGGTGCACAGTATCCTCCACCAATGCCAACACCATCTTCCGGTGTCCCGGCTCAGACAGTTTCTTCTGGCGAAAACCAGCAAAATTATACATCTTCTGGTGAGACACAACAAAGTTATCCTCCCGGAGTGCAATCTCATAATAGTGCTCCTGTTCAATCGCTTCCCAGTTATGCCTATGGCAATTCCGTCGCTGCATTGCCACCCCATACCCAACCTGCATATCCAACATCTTCATACAGCTATCCTTCTTATTATGCCATGGCACCACCACCTCCTCTTCCTCCAACTGCAACACAGTCCAGTGTAGATCATTCACAGAGTATGAGCAATGTTCCCTGGGCCTCAAATCCACCAGAACCTGCACCTGCACCTCCACCTCCACCTCCACCATCTGCAGAGAAACCTCCATATGGTACAGATGCAGAGTATGAAAAGTTCATGTCGGAGATGAAATGATGATGCAGTTAACTTTGTATTTGCTTGTAGTACATGGTATGGAAATGTTACAGTTGCAACTTTTTGTTTTGGTGTACAATCTTGGTTTGCACTTTTCATTCCTTGTGTATGCACTCATACTCACACAGTCACACTTACCCTGGGACATCTTGATTTTTTAGCGATCTTATGGTACCTGGGGCTGAAGGAGAATCATGTCTTATTATCACAGACTCATAGCTGATGATAACTCACTGTTTTCCACCTTTAGTCCCCACCCACACACACACACTCCTTTTTTGAGGGGTGGGGGTACTTATATATTAGCCATACCCATAGGTGCTTTCTGTATCTAACCTTTTCAGCATCTTTTGTGACCATTTCTTAACTATTCTTCCACTTCCACTAACTTCCCCGAGAAAGAAAAAAGAGTTTGCGAGGAGGAATTAGAATGTAGGTAACCAAATTTGTCAGCCATTTTCATTTGTTCTACTTCTACCTGGACAAGTATCTATGTCTAGAATTTGGCCCTTCTGTTCCACTTGTTGGAATTTGACTTCTTTAGAGATTTATATTTCTTTTTCTTCTAGTTTGAAAAAGCTTTATTTTAATTTAGTTTAATGCATTAAATATGAGCACATTGTTTGATGATTTGGTCTTAACGTTTTTCCTTGTTGCCATATTTTGACAGGCTGATTTGTTGGAGCACTTCACATGATTTCTTACCTCTTGCCATGTCTTACTTCTTTAACCGTGCTGTACTATTATGATATTTGCAGAGAGATGAAGAGTTCAGTCCATTCCTCATGTGTTGGAGCAGCTAATTAGGTGCCACATGGATATTAATAATGCTGAACATTCGTCTTTTGTCATAGCTGCCTAGCATATGATTTCAAACTTATTTAATTATTCTGTTGGATTTTCTTGATGACTGATCACTGACAGTTTGCGTTGTGTTTTTTTCCTCGACTGACATTCACTGCTTATCAATTTTGGTTTTCTTTGCTATACTGGTTTTCTCTCTTAGGTTCTAAATCTAATTTAACTATGAGATAATATTCAGACAGCAGCCTGATGCGTGCCTTTGCTATTTCTCTCCAGAAGGTGCATCTTCAAGATGTGAAGGTCCTCAGGGTATGTGACTTGATAGTATGACTATTACGTTCACATGTCTCCGGATTATTTCTTTGTTATTTGATTCTGATATATTCTCCAGATGTCTTGTGACAGGAAAAGATTCTTGTAGTGCAATGGGCATTCCTGTTCTGGGCCGAGTGTTGAGAAATTTGCTTATCCTCAAATATAGCTGTATTAAATTTAACCTTGTTTGCTTTACTTGGTTATTCTTTAGAACTAGGTTTCAGCACCAAGAGAGATAATTTAGCTCATCAAACTGGGTAAGAAGAGAAGTCTAGAAAGACATAGGTGGGCTGTATAAATGCTTCCTGTTTGAGTCGTGTAGTACTTTTTCCCTTAGCAGTAATGGACTAAGTTTTCGTGTTGTAGTGTGCGTAAGGGGTGCTGTATTATCATTTGATTTTAGCTATTAGTTTAGCGGGAAGAGCATATTGTTGTAGGAAGCTAGCATTAACTTAGAATATGGATTGGTTGAAACTTTGAGATAGAACTGTGGTTGTGAAGTCTTTGAGAATATAGACAGTGTGGCTAAGCAGGATAGTTACGTCATACTACAAAAGAAGGTTAATAACATCCTTTGTTCTTCTATACTCTTTTCTTTTCAATCTCTTTTTAAAAGAATGACATTTTCTAATATCTTGATAACATAAACTTTTTATTTGTTTTAATAGCATGATTTTATAGCCACAGACATGTCATGACATGTTTAAGATCACTTCATATTCTTCACACAAAATCAAACAAAGGGTGATATGTATGTGGGCTTTCTTGTGTATATGTTGCACAGTCATTTTAATCAATACCTTCTATGGTAAAAGCCTTTTCCTTAACCTATTTTTTCTTTCCAGGAATTTATGTTCCAATCCAATACATTGATTTTAGATTGCATTTGTATTAGTAGGTAGTCGAGTGTATTCGTTTTCTTTCAGTGTTTTAGTATGTTACTCCATGTTCCTTTAGCTTCGGTTATCTTATTATCTTGTTGTTTCCACTTGTCGCTACAACCTCATTTTTAATTGTTCTTTCGAGTCGAGGGTATATCTATCAAAAACAACCTCTCTACTTTCTCAAGGTAGAGGTAAGGTCTGTACACTCTCTAGACCCCCCTGGTTTTTTTGTTGTTGTTGTAGATGTGTGTGTATGCGGTATGTTTGTTTGTTTGTAGGCTCTTCTTCCTTAACAATAAAAAATAATATTCACTAATATTTCCATTTGATATATGAACATTTTCTTAGTCTACAATTGTTTTAAAGCATTGAGCTCTACCCGAAGATCCCTCAAAGCTGGTGGATAGATTTACTTGGTATCGTGGTACCTGTTGTTGGTGGTAGGTACCCACAGTCATAAAAAAAAATGAATCAAATTCTAAGGATCAAAACCATGAAATTTAAGGAATGGTACTAGAGAGAAAATATTCATATGAAATTAGCATGACTTTCCGTAAATATATTCATACCAGTGGGAATGACTTTCTGTTATTTCATTTACTCGTAAAAATAAATAACAAAAACTTTTTTGAGTACTCAATTATTGTACAAAAACAATATATCCTATGATATTTCTCAGTTTTTATCGTTTAACTATAGTTCATTAATGGAGTATACATGTTAGAAAAATAGCATAATATTGCTATTGAACATAAATAAAATAGTGAAAAGCGTGCTGTAAATAATTTTATGCCGTGGTAAGCCGTTGTTTTGAAAGCAAATTAATCCTCAAAAACACAAATTGTTGTTGCTGATTGCTCTTCAAAGTTACACCAATCACTTTTAAACACCATGACTAAAAATTTAGAGTTTGCACAAAATTATTGCCGAGAAAACAAAAGGAGAAGAACAACTTCCGAAGAAAAACAGAATTTTTAGTGTGTTGATAGTGTGTGTATATATACTAGTTACAGTAGTCCGTGCCAGCACAAGTCCAACATATATTTTTATTTTTTATTTTAATTTATGTGACATTAATAAAATTTTAACGGTCAAACAATTTTTTTGTATGTTCTTTAAATTTTAAGTTGTTGATTATTGTGGTTAATAATACTTTATATGTAATTTTCAATATTCTCTTTGTCCCAATTTATGTGTCATTGATAGAATTTCGAAAGTCAAGTAAATTTTGTATGTCTTTTAGATTTTGAAGTTATTTAATTATTATGAGTTATAGTACATTTTACGTAAATGTTACTTTTTCTATCCCAAACTATGTGACATTAGTAAAATCTTGAGAGTTGATCAAATTTTTTGTATGTCCTTTAAATTTTGAAGTTGCTAATTATTGTGTGATTTGTAGTACGTTTCATGTTATTTCAAAGAATATATATTATTTCCTCTATCCTAATTTATATGGCACTAATAGATTTTGAGGTTCAACCAAATTTTATAGATGTCTTTATAATATATTAGGGTTTAATTACCTCTTTTTGATTTTTAATCCATTAATATGCTTTCTTCACAATTATCAGTAGAGCTGCCTTTCAGTGTTGATGGTTTAGCAACATACCTTTAAAAGAACAGACCAACGAAAGCTTCCTCTTATTGCTTATTGTGTGTATTATTAAGTAAAAAGTATTCTAATTAATTCTACTAAAGATTCACTAATTGAATGATGGGAGAAATTAAGTAATGTGAGAAAAGTACTGAAAGACTTAATCCTACTCCATCCGTCCAATAATTATTGTTTATTATACTATTTTGAAATGTCCTACAATACTTGTCCACTTTATGAAATCAATGGATAGTTTACCCCTTATCATTAATTATAGTCATTTTTCAATTATATTTTTTAATACATTATATTTATTATATTTAAAAAATGATATAGTAATATTACTCTTTTATTTATAATTTCTTAAAAAATGTATAAAGTCAATACTGGAGAAATATTATTGGAGAGAGAATAGTTGATATCAGTCACCAAAGCAATACAACTAAGTAGTAATAAGTGGGGCCCATGTTTTTAGAAAGTTGTGCGAATTATTTGTAGTTTTAAGGGGACAAATTAGTCCAATAGATACAAAAAATGAAATGCAGTTGCACTACTCCTTTAACTAACCAATTGAATTACATTTTTCATGTGAAATTACAAAAGTAACATCTAAGGATTTTTTTGTCAATTCCCATAAACGGGAAGCTCCTCACATTCACTCTTATTAATAGTAGTAATATAATAATTTTCAAAGTTAAATTAGATTGTATTAATTTGATATTTTAAACAAAAAAATTAAATATGCAAAATCTATACAAAAAGTACTATAAAAATTGTAATTTTTTGCATATGAATATGATGAAAAAACACATGGTAAAATATTAGTTAAAATTCTTATAGTTTGACTCTAAAAAGGAAATCATAACAATTAAAAGTGTATAGAGAGAGTAATAAATAGGTAATTAAATTTCAAGAAGTTTAAAATAAAAGGTTGAAAAAAAGAATAAGATAGACAACATATATTGAAATAAATGGGCCCAAATGAGGTAGGTAATTAATGGTGTTAAATTGTCCAATAATATAAATTTTAAAGGTACAACCATAAAAGAAGAATGTACAACACTATCTAAGCACATATCATCAAACACTTGTCATGTGCTAAGTAGTAGATATTCCCACTTATTAGAAATAATATATATATCTATTTTCTATATTACCTTAAAAGCATGAACTCCTAACTTGAATGTTAAATTGCTATAATATCCCTAACTTAGGTTGTGACTTTTCCAAAGAGTTGTGACTTTTTCAATAAGTTGTGACTTTTCCAAAGTGTTGTGACCTCTCGGAAAGGTCATGATTTTTTAGATAAGATACAAAAAAATATTTATTCATACCACCCTTTGTTACTACAAATAGAGGGACTTCCTCTCATTTCCCAACCACAATTTTTTATAATCTTCTACTCTTCTTCTTGCATTTAAATTTTTTTTTGTGTAATTTATTGTCGTTGAGTGAGTTCGAAGTTTAGCGTAATATGAGGTACCACTATTTTGATGGAGTAAGTCGTTCTATCCTAAGAGGGTATATTCCATAACCTCGAGTACTTGAGGAAATAATTTAATTTTAATGATGTAATAATTATTTTTTTGCTTAATATAAACATTAGTATGTAATGTTCCGATATATGAATTTAATATGATGTAGTCTAAATTCATTTGTTTTTGTTAACAATTCTCTTGTGATGTTGATATATGCTTCAAAATATACAGAATTGTCACGATTCATTTTTTATGCTCAAGACAAAAGAATGACTTTATTTATCAATGTTACTTATGTGATGTAGACTCCCAGAAAGTTTGCTTCAAAATAGCTATTACTATATAAACATTGCCCTTTTGTTTTACTTATTTACTATTTCTTAATATTTTAGTATTTTAGAAAAAATCATATGACTTGTAATAACACAAGTTGAAGTTTATATTAGTTTAATTTTTATTATTTATTTAATAGCTAATTTTATGAGATAAATATTTTCATTAATGCAAATATATATTTATATTTAGGTAGGTATTTGTATTTAAACTAAAATATTGTATTTGTCACAAATGTATTATCAAGTTAACGAGATCTTCTAACTTGAAAATATATTGTTTTAAAATGTTCATAGTTTTTTTTTTTAACAAAAAAAACTCACAATAAATGTGAAAATATGTGAATATATAAAATGTAGTTGTTCTCTTCACATGTTCATATGACATCTAAACAATTTAACAATACACATGCAAAGCACATTTGATTAGATGACAAGAAAAATACAAAACAAATATTGTTTATAAGATAATATTAGTGAGATAAGACTAATTACATGATTGAACCTCATCAAATAGAAATAAATATATACATAATTGCATTTAACTAGTAAAAATTTTCATTGACCATCTTCATAGGTTTGCGTGAATAAGAGATATATATGACGATCCACATTGAACATTCACAAAATAATCTGCAATATTATTTTTTACCAATCTTATTATTTAAATCTTCGCTTAAATAAGCAATACTATTTACTATAACATATATTTTTGAAATTGGTAATCACGTGCAACACACGTGTCAGAAAACTCGTACTAGTTTAAAAGCATGAACTCTCTAACTTGAATGTTAAGTTATATAATACCCCTACTTAAAACACCCATCTATTTCTATTTGAATAACATATGTTCTCTTAAAAAGTTGTGACTTTTATGAAGAGTTGTATCTTTTCTGATGAGTTGTGACTTTTACAAATGACGGTGACTTTTGAGAACAAATGACGGTGACTTTTACAAATGACGGTGACTTTTCCAAA